TGATCGTGATGCGATGGATTTTGTCAATTATCTCTAATTTCCCCAGACAAAAAATTTGATAACGTCATGGAGAAAAATTCCACCTTCAGTTATAGCCTTGGTTTCTCTTTTGTAATGTCCATTTAACTTTATATTGTCCAGTTTTGGGAAAACTGAATTCTACTGTCACTGAATTTATTTAGAGTGCCATTCCAAATCCTTGCATGCTGTTGATTTTCCTGAAATATTTGCTCCTTCTGTTGGTATTTGTTGCAATGAGATGGCTTAATAAAATAGAATGTAGAGAAAACAATATTTTGTTAATTTTGCTTCATCACAGCCTAAGTTTATTTGATGCCAATAGCAAAAATTTTAAATGTTTACATAATATTCTTTATTTTGTTTTCAAAGGAATACATGCATATGATAATAAATATGTGAGAAAGCTTGATGAAAACCAACGATCTTCTATTTACACTTCTTTCCTAGCTCTCATCTGTACTGGCAAATACTTTTTAAAACAAACATTTTTATTGAATTATACATACAGAAAGTGAATGAATCCTTAGTGTTCAGCTCAATATATTTCCAGAAAGTTAACATTTTTGGTATCAGCGTTTTGAAGAAATGAAACGTTATTAACATCCCAGGTGCCACACAAATTACCTCTTAAAATCACAACCAGCTCAAGTATAACAAATAACCAAACTTCCAATACTATAGTTTAGTTCTGCCTGTTTTGAATTCATATAAATGGAATAGGAGAGTGTGAACTGTTCTGTCTGGCACCTTGAACTCAGTAATTTATGTTGATGGCATTTACCCATGATACTGCTTTTTAGTTCTTCATTCTCATTGCTATATAGGATTCCACTGTATGAATATTTCACAATTTATTTCCCATCATACTGTAGATGGATATTTGCGTTGGTGCAATGGTTGGCTGTTTGAATAATACTGCTGTGAACAATTCTTCTACATGTCTTTTGACAATGTATGCACTATATATGCATTTCTTTTGGGTATATACATAGGGGTGGAATTGCTACTCTTTTATTAAGTGCATGTCCACTTTTAGTAGATATTTCCAAATAGTTTTCCAAAGTGGTTGTACCAGTGTACACTGCTATCAGCAGTGTCTGGATGTATCAGTTCCTCCACTTTCTTGCCAACATCTGGTGTTAATCTGTTTTTCATTTTATCCCTTTAGAAACAATTTTAAACCTTTATTTTCTAGCTTTTAACATATTTACTTCTTTGTCACTAAAGACTATCTCATCCATCCTTTACACATTTTCTGGTACATCTCACTATTTTCTGGTACTTCTCTGCTCAAACTGTAACCTCCATTTATTGTTCCACTAACTTGTATGAAAGAAACTAAAAAATTCTTTTTCCTGTTACCGGTTTCTCTCCTATACTTTCAAACCTCTGAAAAATGACTTTTACTTTTATATAGTCAAGATTAATGACATATTTTACTCTACAACTATACATAAGAATTCCTTGTTTTATCTATAGATCTGTTTTAGAATCTGAAAAGCAGTATTAAAAGTTTACTTTTAATGACCATATAAATTATGAATGCCCTGCACCCAAATTCAGCAGGAACATATTCTATCAGAACAAAGCTGAGTTTACTCACTTATAATAAGGGAGACTGCACACCTCGGGGAACCGTGAGTCAACTCAGTAACCGTGTCCTACCAAGAAGTTAGAGGGTTTGGGCTTATGTTAGGTGATTTGGGGTAGGGTTCAAGGAAGTCTCCTTCCTTCCTTTCTTTTTTAAAAAATTCCCTCTCTTCACTACACTATATCCTCAAGTGGTTCCTAAGAGAGGGTGCACAAAAATAAACTTTGTGTATATGCATGCCTGAAAACACATTTAGTTTTCTCTTCCACTTCACTGATGTCTTATATATTGCTTACGTCATTCAATGTCTTACACTCTAACAATCCATGCCTTTTCATATCTAGGATTATTTCATCTCTAGTATTATTTCCTTAATAGTTGTATGTCTAAGTTTAGCTTTTTTTCTGAGACTTGTACTTACTGGATATTGAACATTTTTAATTGTTTCTCTATGTCTCTTATATTTCTCCTTTATTTTACATATTTGTTTACATACTTGATTTTTTCCTCTCCATCCTCACTTAAAGTTAGTCCCTCACTTTGAGTATTTTTATTGAATTTTTAATTTTAGTGGCATATTTAAGTCCCTAAGAGTTTTCTTATTATCTGATTGTGTCTCTTCCATAATTGTATTTAGGAATTTCACATTTCACTATTTTCTGAATTATCTGTTTCCTGCAGGTTCCATTTTCCCTTTTGTGTTTCTTTGCTGTGTGTATTTTTCATACATCCAGTGAGCAATTATCTGTTTATGTGTAAGAAAGAGAAACTGAGTAGCTAGTGTATGGCAGCTGCTGACTTGTTAAGTCTTCTCTGCTTTTGTGTGACAGGGTGGTCTGCACTCAAGTTTCTGTCTTGAATGGAAATTCTGACAGGGTGCTCCATGTGAGGCAGTGCAGAGCCAGGTTTATAAAATATAACTAAGGTGCACTGTGATGAATGGGCAGAGAACTCTTCTCAGGATGTGGCCCTGCAAGTGTCAGGATAAAAAGGTTTTATGCTGGTATTACAAAATCTCCACTAAATATCCTAGTGTTCTCCAAGAAAATTCCTTTTATTTTTTTAGAAATGGGCCCTCATGTTTTTCAAGGGAGGCCTGGAAGGGAAACAATAATTATTAAACTTACATGTTGCATGTAATGTATTATTATTTTTTCACACTTTCTATGCACTTGGCTGTTTCCTAAATTCTTTACACATATTCCATTTAATCTTCAAAATAATGGAATAATTGGTATCCCAGTTTTAGAGATGAACAAAGTGGACATACAGAGTTAAAGTAATTTGTCCAAGGTCACCTAGCTAGTAAATGGTGGAATCAGGATTTGAGTCCAATCAGCCTGACCCCAAAGACATTGCTTTTTGTTTTTACTTTTTTCTATTGTGAAATCTATTAAACATTTCGAAAAGTGTATATAATGCATACATGCAATCTGAAATAAAAATAATAAAATATTCATCACCTAGCTTAAGAATTAGAACTATGCCAAAACCTTGGAAATCCCTGTTTGCCTCCATCCTCATTAAAATCAACCACTATCCTGAATTTTTATTACTTATTTGTTATTCTTTATAGTTGTACAGATATGCATATATCCCTAAATAATACAGTTTAATTTTGTCTGTCTTTGAAATTTATATAAATGGATCCATGTGGTATGGATCATCTGTGGGCTTACTTTTTTGGTCATTATGGTATTGAATTCATCCATGTTAATGCCCTTCATTCATTTAAACTGCTTTATGGTTTTCCATTATGTAAATACACCTTTACTTTTAAATTTATTTTATTGTTGATCGACTTTTGGGTTGCTCCAAGAGTTTTGTTACCATGAACAATACCGCTATAAGCATTCTTGAATATATCTCCTCATGCACTTTGACAAGAGTATCTTTTGCATATAGGCATATCTTGGAAGGTACTACCTGGGTCATACCAAGAACTATAAAGACATCAAAATGAATAAAACAGACAATTAAAAGATGCCAACACAAAGATGAAATAGATGTTGGAAATATCTGACAATGATTTTTAAATTGAATTTTAAAAATTGCTTCAATGAGCAATTATAAACATGCTTGAAACAAAGAAAAATATTCTCAGAAAAGAAATGTAAAGTTGTAGCAAACAGAAGATATAAAGAAATACAAATGGAAATTTTAGAAATTAAAAGTACAATCATTGATATGAAAAACTCAGTGGATGAACTCAACAACTGGGAAACAAAGTATTAGTGAACTAGAAGATAGCACAATAGCAACTATCCAATCTGAACAGACTGTAAAAAATTAACAAAGCCTCAGGGATCTGTTGGACAGTAACAAGCGGTCTAACATTTGTGTCACTGGAATCCCAGAAGGAGAGGAGACGACTTCCCAAATTTGGCAAAAGATACAGATCAAGAGAATCAAGAAGCCAAACAAATCAAAACTACACCAAAAAAAAAATGACACTGAAAGACATCATCAAATTTCTGAAAACTAAAGAGAAAGAAAGAAATCTTAAAAGCCATGAGAGATAAATGACACATTACCCATAAGATAACAATCTGAATGAGAGTAGATGTCTCATCAGAAAGGATGAAGGTCAGAAGAAAATGGCATAATTAATACAGAAGGAAAATTTGACCAAAAAATTACAATAGAATGAATGAGACTAATAAAAATCATGACCAATTCTACCCATACAAAAATGAAGTAGAATCCTAAAATGCTTACTTATGACAGATACTTAATTGCTCCTAGTCCCTCTTAAATAATTTAACTTGATTAGATTACTTCTATCATAAATATTTCTTGGCCTCAATTTTCCTAATAGCCTAATTGTTCCCTTTACCGTGCAGATGTGATCATAAAATAAAGTATTTTGTTCATGCCATTTTATTTGTCATAATTTAGCAAAGTGATTGTTTGACACTGGTCTTGCTAACCAATTTTTGTTTTGTATAGTTTGTTGATGGGACAATTAAACAGTGTACTTCTTGGATTCAGAAATTACGTTGTTCCTCAGAAATAAATTGCACTGCTGATGAATAAACGTTGATTAAGGAAAGTTTATATTACCTGAGGGAATGATTCGTAAATGTCTTAGTATGCATCAGAATCACAAGGGAAAAGACTGAAGTGTGCATTTTTGTTAGCACCCACCGCCAGAAAATTTGATTCAAGATCTGAAGGGGAGCCCATGAACTGACTTTGAAAAAACCCCCAAGACTCCCAGGTAAATCTTTAGGTATGTGGTTCACACACTACAGTTTGAGGGATACTGACTTGTCTTAAAAATCTCAGATTTGGGAATGTGGAACTGACCTGCTGCACTTCAATAAGTTACTAATTTGAACACATGGTGGCAGTGCAGGCTAAGAGAGTGAATAAAAGCCCCGCAGACTGTGTGGACTCCATTTCACTGAGAAACTCAACAAAAAATACAGAACACGCTTACAGCTAGAGCTAAGAGAGAAGTGCTCAGGAAGGCAGTAGCTGCCAGACAAGTTATAAGAACAAAATTGATATTCTACAGAAGGCAATTTGGAAGGTGAACTGTGCACCTGGTGATTGGGATTGGAGACGGATTACTCCCCAGGAACGAGACATAACAATGGAGGTGGAACGAGACATAACAAAGGAGATGGAACAAACAAAAATACATCATAAGAAAAGGCAAGTGATGATTTTCATCATTTTGATGCTTTTATGGGAGGCAGGTTCAGAATCGATTCAGTATTCTGTACTGGAGGAGACTGAAAGTGGCACATTTGTGGCCAACCTGACAAAGGACCTGGGACTCAGAATGGGAGAGCTGGCTGTCCGGGGTGCCCGAGTTGTTTTTAAGGGGAATAGACAGTATTTGCAGTTTGACCCACTGACCTATGATTTACTGCTAAATGAGAAGCTGGATCGGGAGGAGCTGTGCGGCTCCACTGAGCCCTGCGTGCTACCTTTCCAAGTGTTACTGGAAAATCCCTTGCAGTTTTTTCAGGCTGCCTTAGAGATTAGAGATATAAATGACCACGCCCCAGAGTTCCCCGCCAGAGAAATGTTACTTAAAATATCAGAAATTACTACACCAGGAAAGATATTTCCCTTGAAAATGGCACAGGATTTAGACGCTGGTAGCAATAGCCTTCAAAGCTACATAATCAGCTCTAATCCTCACTTTCACGTTCTCACTCGAAACCGCAAAGACGGCAGGAAGTCCCCGGAGATGGTGCTGGACAAAGCGTTGGATCGCGAGGAGCAGCCTGAGCTCCGGCTAACCCTCACGGCGCTGGATGGCGGGTCTCCGCCCCGGTCTGGGACCACAGAGATTCATATCCTGGTCTTGGACATCAATGATAACGCTCCCGAGTTTGCTCAGGAATTCTATGAGGCTCAAGTCTCTGAAAATAGCACCCTGGGTTCTCTAGTTATCACCCTCTCAGCGACAGATTTAGATTCAGGATCCTTTGGGGAGGTATTTTATGCCCTATTTCAAGTCGATGACGTTAACCAACCCTTCGAAATAAACCCAAATACAGGAGAAATTCGACTGAGAAAGACACTAGATTTTGAGGAAATTCAGTCATATCATGTGGATGTTGAGGCGACAGATGGTGGGGGACTATCAGGAAAATGTTCCTTAGTCATCAAGGTCCTAGATGTGAATGACAACGCTCCAGAAGTGACTGTGTCCTCACTAATCAGCCCCATCCCTGAAAACCTGCCAGAGATCATAGTAGCAGTTTTCAGCGTATCAGACGCAGATTCTGGACATAACCAACAGGTTATTTGTTCTATAGACGACAATCTCCCCTTTCTTCTAAGACCGTCCGTTGAGAATTTCTACACCTTGGTAACAAAAGGAGCGCTGGACAGAGAGAGCAGAGCCGAATACAACATAACCATCACTGTCACAGAC